TATATATATATATATATATATATATATATATATTTATACTTATTAGTATACAAATATCTAAATAAATAAAATAAATTTCATCTATAAATAAAATAAATACTCAATGGCCTCATCGACCTCTTCTGCTGTTATCGGAGGCATGTCGGCCTCTTCTGCTGCCCCAAAGGAAAGCTCGGCGATGATCTCAAGGGAGCAGCTTCTTCACCTATTCTCTCGCTTCTCCTTCCTTGTCTCCCAACCCGGTAACCATTAAAACTCGATGACCACCTTTTGAAGCTTTAACTTACGATTGTCTATGCTCCATTCGTTCATCTTATCATTTTATTTCAGAGGTCAAAAAGAGAATTGTGGATGCTGTTAGAGATAAGCAGGTACTCTGCATGTGGTTTTCATGTAGTTTTCCTTTTGGAATTGTTCCTCGAATTGTCAAAAAAACCCTAGTTTTAAAAAGAGCCTCCTCCCTTCTTTCTTTTCTCTTCAACTCTCTTTTCGCCATTCCTCCGCTATTCTCATTGGGGTTGTTTGCTTTTTAGAAGTTGATATAAACTTTTTGCACACAGAATGACATTTCCGTGTTTGTTTTGAAGAAAACTAGTGAATCAAGTTTTCTTTACTTCATACTTCCATTCCTTAACTGATCTATTGCAAACTGCAACATAATTGCAATCAATTTAGACGCATTTTTTTTGTGGTGTTTAATTTAAAATGCATTTCTTTTGCTGCAAACCACACAGTCCCACCCTTTATCTCAATCTTTCTATACTCTGTTTGAGTGAAAAGTTTTTTTCTAATTAGATCAAAACATGGGCCCCTATCTTGGCCCTTGTGATTTTATTACTGCCTTTTCATCAAGTAATAATTCTGTTTTCATCTTGGAGTTGTTAATAGATAAAACTTAGAAATTGTCATGAGCTTAACACAACTAAGGAATGAATTACTTTGATACTTTGTATCCTAAATTTTATATTTAGATGCCTAATGGTCGAAACGGTACTCTTGCATGATATGAGATAATATTTAGTCAGTTCATGCATACTTTTGCGTTCATAAATGCATTTTACAAGCAAACATGAAATGCCCTCAAAGCAATGAATCGTCCATTTTTATACATTATGGTATCTGGTGCAACCATACATTACCTTTGTGCATTTGCTTAATACTACTTTTTTTTATCGGCCTACGAATTATTCACACATTATTATGAACATCTTGTACAGGAGGCGGTAGCTATAACCACAACGATCCAAGAGGAAGTCTTTTTGGAAATGGGAATTGGTAAACTTGTTGACTATTTTCTGTCATTTTTATACATTTTCTAAGTTTTGTATGAAATGACATCACCGGTCTTTTGAGGAACATGCAGGAGTTATTATCCTTTGTTTTTTATTTGATATTTATGTTATTGTCCTTTGTCTTTGAACTGGAATTTTTTTATGGGGTTAAATCACATGATGTTGGAAATGTTTGCAATATCTCCAAGTGATGAAATACCAGGTTAACTGATGCTCGATTACGTTGCAATTTCTAACATGAAATTGTTTCATGGAAATTCTTTGTTAACCATTTCAAGAAATAACAATCTAGAGTTCTCCTTGCATAGTCAACTCTACTAAGTGTTAAACTAGTTACTACTCGGGCAGGTGTTTTAAAGTGATTCATTTGTTGTTCGCCCATTTAGAAAAATCTATTTTTTATTTATAAATGCTAACAGGCTGTTGGTGCTTTACACTGGGAATCACAATTTTGTTGAAGTATGTAAAGCATGACAATTGGTTTAGTTATTTATGCTTTTAGCTTGTAATTATGTTGATATCCTTCCCGAAAAGGTAGTTGAGGATCATAGGCAATAATAATTGTTTGGCTTATTTTAGAATTAAGAGAATACTATGTTTCATAGAGTTTCATATTTGTGAAAAAGGAAAAAAGAATTTGTAAAGCTTAAAAGAGTAAGAAATTTCTAACTTGAAAAGAATAAATTTTGAAAAAAATGAAGGCAAGATAACCATTATGCTGTGTTATATGCTAACCACTTAATGTGTTGCCTAAAATTAAAAAAAAAATCATATAGATTTTTAGAGTTCTTATCACTCATGGTCATTAAAAAAGTTTTCAGATAGAATTTTAAAGTAAAAACCTTCATATAGAAAGATATGTCGTTATTGGAGTTAGAGTCTATGTCAGGTAATATTGACAAATATAATCAACATCTCATAGTTTTATCATCTTAAATTGTCTTGGACTTTTGTTTATTCAAGAAATTGTTATCAATTTCCATAGGCTTCATCTTCCAAGGAGGTCTGACCATGGGGAAAGCTTGTTGTAGGGGCCGATTTTGAATCTCTCCTTGATTAATAAGGGGATTTCTATCATATGGAGTATGGCATATGATACTCATAGAAATAGCTATTAGGGAATAAATGTGCTTGACATTTTGCTTGATCATTATGGTTCAGGAGCAAATTTTACGCTGTTCATGTGGTTCATAGGGAGCTTTTCACATTCTTGATGGATTTGGACTTTAAATATGGTCATATGATGCGTGGGATATGACACTAGTTTTTGTGACTTTTGGCTAGACTTGAACTTATCACTTTTGGCCAACTAGTGCCTGGAATGAATGGATGGCTACTCTCTGCATATAGAGCAACTAATAAGTTCTTGTATGTATGTGTGTGTACGTGTATATCTTATTTATTTTGTGAGAGAACCCTTGGATTGGAGACTCATTTTGTGCTATAGCTTCTTATGATTAAGATTTTTTTTGTTTACATTCATCATTATAAAAAGGGTGGTTGATGTCATTTGTGACTTCGAGCTGGTGCTGATAATTTTATCTTGCACTTTAAGAGCTATGATGATAGTGGTGATCTCTTTTGTCAGGATTAATCTTGTTGCACCCATTATAGGGAAGAAAGTTTGGAAAGTGTTTCTCAGAAATTGGGGAATTTTTATTCAAGGTTCTCTTGGTTCTAACTTTTCAATAATCAAAACTATTCTCAAGAAAAAAAAGCTCCAAAGTATTTTTTTTTTGTACTCGAAAGATTTCATAATATTAGTAAACCCATCCGATTATTATTTGAATAACTAATCACTTAATTATGATAAATGATTTATTGGATTGAATTTTTTCTTGCCAGCATGGTCTTTTTCACGATCCTTACAAATGTTTAATTTGTCTAACTTTTCAAATCTTATTTCCATTTCTTTCTCTTTGCTGCAAAATAAGTGATATACCTCTTAGTAGCCATCAACCAACATGTACAACAAACATGCTATAATATGCACTAAAATCGAGTAAATTTAAGCTCCAAACTTTGATACTGGTTATTAATAGAGGAAGTACATGTGCCCAAGTGAATAAAATGAGCATGAACATTTTGAAATACCCATTCTAAGTGTATCATTAAGTAGCATAAACTTGGCCTATAATGCAGCATTTCAAATGTTCTTTTTGAGAGTGCATGCTCACAAGTGAAGAGAACTGTAAATCCAAAAATTAAAGTGACTAGAATCTACATGATTTGACTAAGTTCTACCATATGTATGGGTGAATGATAGAAAAAGAAGCTTTACCATAAAAAAAAAAGGGTTGAAAAAGTGGACAATTGCTTGAAAAATACAACTATGAAAGTGCCATAAAGAATTGTTGTTAAAGGATAGTTGGATTCTTTCCTAGGCACTTTAGTTGCAAGATAAGGTCAGCATCTAACATGCCTATTCGATGAGAACCATTTCTAAGGCATTCCCTCAGCCAATGTCATTCCTTGATTTTGTGATGTGTTGTCACATTAACCGTGGAAGTGTGATTATCCTTTGATGACAATTTCAATGAGTTGATGTGGAAAGAGCATAAAGAGTTTGAGGAATGACTATTTAAAATATAAAAAAGTTTTATCAAATGTTTGTGCATGGGCTTCAATTTTTTAGTAGGCATTCTGGAGGGTGAAGAGGATGAGTCTATATAGAGGGAGGAATTGATAGAGGGATGAAAAGAGAATTCCTTAAAAAAAAAGATAGGGAAGAGAAGATTCAAGAAGCCTGTCATGATTAACATAAATTAAAATGAATGAGTCGATTTGAGATTTTATTTTTTGGCATTATCATCACGAAGAAGAGATTCCAGATTTTTTAACTTCATTTTTTTGGGTCAAAGCGAGTCAAGTGGCTAGGCTACAAGAAGTTTGAAACTCTATATATTCAATATCTATTGAAACTAGTATTTGTGGGTTTTGTCTCAAGTCGTATGAGATGAAATTCTCATATACGGCTCTCAAATGTGGAGTCTTTCTTGGGTTACCTTTCTCAATAAAGGATATGATTGGTTCGAGGAACGCCTCGAGATTCAAGAGATGAGTAAGAGAGCTAGGAAAGGTTAAATTATCCTATTGCGTGTTTAAAAGGAAAAAAAGTAATAGTTAGCTATTTTTCTTTATAAAATTTCTTTGGGGCTTTTGTTAAAAATAATATTTTTAGCAAAATTTTAAACCCTTATGCAACACAACTTGAAATTCAATTATTTGACAAATACAATTTAAAATTGTAATTATTACTAATATTCTTTGTAACTATTCCTGATAATTGACACCGTTTTATTAAATGAAATAGTTGTTTTTAGCACTTAAGAGGTTTACCTGGCATCTAAAACATTTGACAATCTTGGTGGGCTTTTTTATTTGGCCACCATAGACCTCAGAAGTGTTCTATTTGAATATTTGAATACGACATTCAAAGAGTAATATATTACCCCGAATGTAGTAATATTACCTCAGAATTAACCTAATCATCCAGATGAGGAAATCTTTATGGGTCTTCGGAACCAGGTTTTTTATTTCACAGGTAAACCTTTATAGTTAATTACATCTCTGAGATCATAGAACCTAAAGAAAACTCTTGATTAATACGATGATCCAAATTGTTCAAGATTAAGCTTTAGAAAAGAGGAATTTAAGTGAATGCGACTTACAAAACAATGGCCTAAATAGAGAGCTATACCTGATGGGAACTGATTTAGAAAGCTTGTATTGATCAGATTAGGTCAAAAGATTAATTAGGAACACTTGATTAGAAATTCTAAACTAGGAATAGTGTTGGGTAAATGATCTCGGCTTTTATGACAGCAGTACGAAGTATGTGTGATTATATTCTCAATTTTCTTTACTTATATTTCTTACTTTACAACTGTTCCGAAAACTTGACTGAAGAAAATAAGGGTGCAACTATTATATTTAAATATTGGGATACTACGCAAGTATACATATCATATCATTATCAAACATATCATTATCAAATAATATAGAACTTTTTGATTAAGTCCCGAATATCGAACCCACGGGGAGAACTACAAATTTTTAAGAATAAATTAGATAACAAATTTTACTTTAAAAAATATTCTTACTCAAATTATAGATGTTATAATAGGAATGAAAGTTCGATTTTTTTAGTAATTTTTTATAATTAAAAATGAAGTAAACAATTAACTAAATTTAACTAGATTTTTGTCATATGAAGGCAATATAAATAAAATATCTTTTTCCTTATCATGAATCAGTAACGAGTATGTGAATTATGTTATGGAAGTATTCAAATTATGTTGTGTCAAATATGAACAATATTATTCTTTACCCTTACTAGAGATGCTATAAAAAATATTGACTAATTTATAGTTTCAATAGTTCTGAAGACGGGTTAGGTCGAGAAGATACTAGATCTCATTCTAAAATTTCCTCTTCTCCCTCCACTTGGGGGCTAACATCTCATATCAAGATCTAAAGTAATAAATCGAATTGGGGGCTTTAGTCTGTCATTCTAAAGTCCTTTAACTCCACATCTTTAAAATTTTATTTCCTTATTTATTTGCACTCAACCATATGAATTACATTTTCATCCATACAATATCATGTGTTTCTTACCATTAGTTAACTGAGACAATACCATTCCGGATCTTACACGTTCTCACAACAAATATTAACATCTTAATTGGCTAAATCAAGAAGTAAATGAAGTACAAGGATTAAAATCATTACAAATTATTCCGACATTAAAGACCAATATTTCACACAACTTCCATTCAACACTTAATCACTTATCATTTTAAGTAAAAAAATAAAGAAAACTACTCAGAATTCATGGAGAAAACACATCACTTAAGTTTAAAAATAGAAATCATATAAACACACAAGAAGTCTAAATTAAAACGAAATGTAGTCATAAAGATAAAAAACTTATCTCAAATTCCTCTCCACTAAACTCTGGAAGTTCCTTTGAATATATTCTCT